TTAAATGTAGTAGCAATCAGCAAGCAATACTATGTAAAATAACTTCTTCTTCTTCTTCTTCTTCTGGTAAAAGGCCTTTCAAGACCATCCCATCTCACACCCGTTCCTCCATTATACTCTATCCATTGCTCTTTCTTTCCAATTCGTTCCTCCTCCTAGCGATTGTACATCCTTTTTAACTAAGTCTTCCCATCTTGTTTTGGGTCTTCCCAGCGGTATTTTTCCTTGCGGGTTTTGTTCTAATACTGCTCTAATTAGCTCATTTTGGTTCCTCCAAGCATGGCCTGCCCATTGGAGTCTTCGATTTTTTATCACTTCCGTTATGGTTGTGTTTTGTAATAATATTTCTAGTTCTGTATTCTTTCTTCTTCTCCATTCATGTAAAATAACTACATATTTTAAATATTATATAATATATAATATTACCTTTAATCAGTGGTGTATTGGTAAATATATTTGTGGGTATAAGCACTAACAAAAATATGGGTATCAATCCTAAAAAAAATTTTCTTGCTTCGCTCGACAATTTTTTTCTCTCAATACATTCGAAAAAATTGAATTAATCCTTTGTAACTACATATTTATAAGTTCTATTAAGACCATGAAATATAACACCACAATATGTACATTTGTAACACGTTATAAATTACATGATGCAGATTTAAGAATCATGGACTGAATGTTCACACTCCATACTATTTTATTCAATGTTATTCACTAGAGTTAACAAAATACATTAAACACAGCGTAGACTGTAATCTTCAACAGCTAAATATTTCAATCAATTTCATGGTTCATAACAATTTTTCCAATGAACTTTTAAATTATTATTAGTTTTTTTTTTTCGAGCTATTTTAGAGGCGTATACCCGTAAAATAGTATTTTACATTAGGCATACCCCGAAAATCGAAAATCTGCTGATGTGTTTACGCCGTATACCTGCGTATACGTACAAATTCCTTTAACGATATTTTCTTTTTGTAATTCTCATAACTTATAACTTATAAATAAAGCAATCATTTTTGTTGTATAACAACAATAAAATGCACATACCACATAAAATACTCGTAAGCATTTATTGTCAATTTATAACTTATGTATAGTATATTACTAGTAATATTTCATCGGTGTTCATCAAAATTATTTTTGATGAGGCAGGCCATACGGGTTCCGTGCGGATAATATCCAACGTATTTTCAGAAAGTATATTTATAAATTATAATTGTTTATAAACGTTTTGGTGCCCTGGTATTCAGTGACGGTGCTAGAGTTTGCGAGGCACTGGGCAAAATAAATGTTGGGTCTTATAATTTATATTAATAAAATATTTTAAGTTCAGTTAAATGAGAGACGTGGGGCCTTAATTATAATTTAAGGCGCGGGGCCCTGGGCAATTGCCCCTATGGTATGGACACTAAGTATCGTTATAATATGATCCACATTAAAAAATTTTGAAATGTTTATCTCACATATGATCGATCCAGGAGGGACGATCGCCCCCATCAACCTTCCTTCCCTGAAATACGCCCCTGACTTCGACGATGATGACAATGTACAATCAATCTTCATAATTAATAAGTATAACGTAACGCTCATGGACCATTGCTCAGTCATAGATTTTTTGATACAATGTCGAAGAATGTCCGCTCACAGAACTGACAAACCTTGCGCTTGGGCGTTTAACCGTTCAGAAATCAGATTGTTTATACTATTCAACGCAAGTAATTGGAAATTATTGATTGATTTATTTGGAAATTATCGGCTGATTCGTGCAGTTTTCCGTGGATAACAGTTGATTCGATCCAACAAATCCGCTACATTAATTACACAATCGTTGTAATTCATTAACCGTTGTACAATAGTGACTACTGTTGTAAAATTAAAAACGCTAAGTAATACCGGGGTCGGTAACCTTGTTAAACCCTACAGGAGTCGATCTTTTTTACAATGTGTATAGTTTGTAACACGGTTGTCGTCGTCGACGGATTACAATAACCGACGTCGTCGTCGTTTGTTACGATGTAGGCGAGCAGCGAGCAGGCGCAATGCAACACGTTCCCATGTCTTAACACCATCACCTACGTGATAAAAATAATTGTTACGCTGCAAAACGTTATAACTAAAGACCGGATATAATTACGTTAAAAATATCTTAAAATTACAATAAAAACATGCAAAAATGCAATGAAAATTTATCAAAATTTCAGTGTAAATATGTTAAAATTGCAATGAAAAATATATTCAAATTACATAGTAAAATCATATCAAATATATAATCATTAATAACCTACTTAAATAATATTTACGACATATATAATTTTTCTGAATTATATACATCTCTAAATTGTGTTCTTGAAAATTGTTAATGTCTGTTACTTAAAATATGTTTATACAATGAAAAATTACGTTTAACGCCTACACTTATTATCGGTGCACATTCAAAATAAATTTAAATAAATTGGTGTTGTATATATTTAACTTAATATTTTTATTTCCGGCCATAACCTCAGAGTAAGTTTTAATATTTTTATATCCTTCATTTTTTCTATGACATATTTTAATTTATTTTTAACTATTTTCCTATTGTGACCAGGAATATTTATCAAAATATTTTCAATTTCACTAAATATGTTTAAACTATTAAGTAATTGGCTATTTGATTTTTCTAAACTTGCGAGTTTTGTAGATAACTCAGATAAATATAATTTATCACACGTGCCGGCGGTACGCACAATGATTGTAAACCGATACAGCTAATAAAAATAATGAATCGCTAAGTCATTACGGCCGCAGCGAACACCGTCGCACAATACGTAATATTAAATTAATTATTATTCCAATATTAATTGTAATTCTATTCGCGAGTGCCCGCACGAGCCGATTTCGTTAATCGTTTTACACGTGCGCGCGCGCATAATAAATGGAGGACATAATATGTTATTACCGTATTTCATTTTTTATTTATTTCTTAATTATCATTCGTATTGAAGGCAGTTTTTCAACGACGACAATATAATAACAATATAGCGTACGCCTCTGTTTAACGGCAGTCACGGCAAACGTAACAATCTTTTGGTTTTGCTATCGACATCGATTCGGGTTCGGTTGAAGTGTTTTTTTTTTTTTTAAATAAATGCCGTTTGTCAGTGTAATAAACAGCGTTTCATTATCGAGTATCCCAACTAAATGATCGGCTATTCCAGCGTACCCCTACAACATTATCCAAAAAGGACTCGTTTTTATTAATTATAACAGAATATATAATAATGTTAATGTTTTTTTTAACGATATTAATTTTAAAGTAGGTATTATGTTTAATAGATTATATTTTAGTTAATATAATGAGTGTACAAATGACATTTTAATATTATTCCGTCCATGGGAATCTTTCCGAGTATAAATGGGTTTAAAAGCTATATTGAATGTACTTGTATATAAAATAAAATAAAACACATAAAACGTGTAAATAAAACTAAACAAGTACATCTCCGATGTTATGAAGACGTCAGATTCAATGACATCTTATCGACGGTAGAGCAGATTTGTGAGACTAATCTAAACATAATCTTTTTTTATATATCTGATATACTATATCATCTAGTTTTATTGTATGTGTTTAATGTATCGTAAATGTCCAAAATATCTTATCAGTATTCAATTAAATTCAACAACCTATACACCCTTACACATATCGTAATAATAAAGATAAATCTTTGACTGCGTATACATACAAAAGAATACATCCAAAAATTATATTAATTTTAACAATAAATTATTTAAAATTATTAAATTATCAGTAAAAATTAATTACTCGTATATTTTAAATAAAAAAAAAAAAATTTTTTTTCATCAATAATGATTTAGTGTACTTTTGCGAAAAGGAATATTTTTAAAGGATTTATATCTTGTATAATGCTATAATTAGTAGTTAATGAATTATCAAAAAAAAAAAAAATGTATGAAACATAAATATTATAAATATTCATTTTTGGCCATCTATTTTTAATTTTAGACTACTGCGTGGCGTTGTTTCCTAATAACGTCCGTTCCCTGCGATACGTTTTCCCCGCGCGAGTGTTGTGCACCGACGGCGATGTCAGGGAACACGATGATAAACGAATGTACAACAACGGAATACAACCAAATTCTATTGTTGTAATAACGTTGTGCCGTACGGGTCCGGTCGTGTTTGTGTACGTGAGTATGGTCAAACTCGGCTACTACGTTCGGTCCACGAACAAACAGTAGTGAACCTATTGTTAGAGCTGACTGCTACGAGATCGGCGATCTCGACGAGTTGCAGTCTAGCGACAAATACGGTCGGAGCAAAACGGTACCGATAGTATTTGATGTTAAACCAGAGCGAATAATTAGTGTAGGCGCTCGGACTAAAGAAAAACGTACGCGTAAACGAAATATTTTTTAAAAAAAATACATCAATAATATTTGATCAATACAACAACGTTCGAAATTCCGCTGTCCTATTCCGCATTCTATCGTTCGTGGTCTATCGATGGAAAATAATTTTACGCGTGCGCGATTTATTTTATTAGTTTTGTTTTACATCGCGATTTTACTGATATTTACCCGAGCGCATTGCGCATTATGTCGATGGATTAAATAACAACGTGCTCATTACCAGAAAAACGAACACAAAGCGATTTTCACTTCAGTGAATCGCTTGAAGTCTGCGCGTCGTTCTAACACCGCTGTCATCTCGTAGTTGTTATCGAGTCGTCGATTACTTTTTGCATTATTATGTTTATTGATTGGACGAACCGGTGCGTGAATTAGGCATTACAGTTCAAGCGAAAAACATAATACCAATATACTCAAATCGAAAAATTGCGTCTCTTCACTCACCTGTAACGCGATCGAAGTTTGAACGCTTCACGTTTTCGTAACAACTTTTATTTGATGTTAACGTTAAAATATTCCGAACGTTAAAAATGTTTTCGGTCGGTCGGTCGTTAATTTGAGTTTTCCTATGTTGACTTTAGGCACGCTTGTGACGCTGGTGCGGTCCGCAGTGGTCGTCGATAACGTCAAGCGACCAATAACGTTGAACAGCGAAGAGTTTTCCAGTATTTCGGGCAGTGAATGTGACGACGGCCGTGTGGCCAATTGCCGTACGTTACCGTTGTTCAACTACACCGAACTGGCGCCTCCGCCCGTGGACGCAGAGGCCGCCGACGACATACTACAAGATCCAAATTGCCCGTAAGTGCCTGTCGTCAGTATAAAAACAAAAGTCATCCGTCGGCAAACGCTTGTTGGCAATACGCACATTATCTGCGTTGACCGTCCTGTGGCGGTATAAAAAAAAAAGTAGCAGACATTACCTGCATAATTTATTGAAAACTTATCTTGTTCTGCGGCCCATCGCTATCAATTTTTAGTGTTAGAAAGTATTGAATATTTTCTAATACTAAAAATTGATAGTAAACGATTCGAATGTCGAACAATCGAGTACTTCAATTACTTATGCGTCTCACTATTACTTCGAAAACGTGTGTTTATGTGTAAATTGCTCTACTAAATTCTTAAAAGTTAAATCTTTTTTCACATACAGACCAACACGCGTGCAAATACGTATACAAAATGCATCCACATGTGTTCTGCAATTTTATTTTGAATATTTACATAATATATAATATAGCTACATAATATTTACAGTAAATACCGAAAACCCGAGATTACTCTGTTCACAATACGTAACAATCACACCATAACTTACTTAAATTATTACAATTTAAGATTCGGTCACGTTCGTCTACTGTTAGTACTACAACTGAGATGGTTACAATTAGGGCTAGGATTTCTGTGCGTTTGCATGTTTTTTTTTTCTGTAGTCCCTATATATTAATAAATATATTAGAAATTATTTGTGATAAATGCACTGTACTCTCGATTTGGTTTATCCTCGATTAAACAGAAACATTTTTATATATATTTTGTATACTTTGAACGCAATGCATATAATTGCATAGAGTTTTTTTTAAATCCAACGAATTTGAAATGGTACTTATTTAATGAACGTCTTTATTTGTCAAATTGTCATAAAAATATATTTCCTGTGTAGTACCTGCTTTATCTCATTGAAACAAACACCATAAACAAAATTACCTACGGTATATATTATCTTTCTAGCGGCATTAATAACGCGAGACAGTAAAATTGTGCAAACGAAATTTAAGTCATTATAAATCCAGTTTTCGTTTCAACAGCATATAATACTTGATGTAATAATTAATTAATAATTAATAATTATAAATAAAAATTAATGTAAATAATAAATAATATTACCAATTAATAATCTAATTTTTACGTACATTTTTTTTTTTTACTGCATACGTATTTTAAAATGTTTTATTACGTATATAACCTAGCCCTAGTCACAACTAAACACGGAAAGAAAAACATTCCTTATAACAGTTATAGCAAGGGTTTCACCACTGCCTCACTACAGTAATAATACAGGATCAAAATTTAAGAAAGATCCGGTTATAAGTACAATTTGTGTATCCGTATAGGTACATATTTTTCCTTTAATTGGAAACTTTTACCGTAGCCCTTTGGGATTTTAAACTTTAAATAAATAAATAATAAAACAACTTATAATTTCTTTGAAAATCAAACAATGCCGAAAGAATTATTAATTATTATTAATTAAAAACCGGGTATGACTTACAAAGGTCAAATCACTAAATATGCCACTGCCTATAAGCAACTCCTACCATTCATTTTACACTTTTTGCCACACTGTTACTTACATCCCTTTAGCGTTTCTTTCAGACAATTTTCTCTGGAAGAGCATTTAAAAAATTTGGGTTCACTTACATCAAGAAAAATACATTTATTGATAATACGAGACTTACCTTTGTTATTTATAACCAATATAATTAAATACCCACATTTTAACCAGTACAACACACATGTATAGTGTTATGGACATACATAGATGTAGGTCCTTACGACTTTTACTACATAGGTGGGACCACATAAATCATAAATAGTAGAGATCGGGGAATGATTATAAATAATATAATATTTGCAACAATAGAAAGAAACTATTAGTTTAAAACAGAGGGTAACGCAAACACATATTATATATACCGTATGGTTACATTCCAAGGTGTAATATTAAGAATAACTATTATAAATAGGCATCAGTATGATATACTGATATACGGAGATGTAGGTTTTTACGAATTTTATTGTAGAGAAGATAACTAGTATGAAATAAATATTAAAAACAACTATTATAAATGGGCATCAGTAGGGTATGTGCAAAATGCGAAATTCACGAGGTCAACTGATTACATAGGTAATCTTTGGTTGGGCGCACAAAATACGAGTAGCATCAAACCAGAATGTCAAATGACAAGTGATTTAGTATTTACTAGATTCGGGTCAACTATGAGAAGCGGGGTATATAAGGGAGTCCCGAATAGACCAATATTCAGATGTGTTTAATACGTGTTTTAGCGAGCACATCCACGCCAGTTTATTTGTTAATTTAATTAAATAATTTGTACTTAGAAATATTTCAATAAACAGTTTAACTCAGTTGAGTGTTTTTATTTGGAATATGCCTAAATCAACACCATCTTTACGATTGAACGACAGCACGCAACAATAGTATTATTACATATCAAAGTTATTTTTATACATTGTGTGTTGTGTTGAATGTAAAAAAAAAAACAGCAAACTTCTCGTAATTTAACAAAAATATACACAAAATAAACACACGTACTCGCGCACACACTATGTCCAAATTTACATAATTTGCTCATGATATAACGGTGGTTCAGTATTTATTGGCTATTTTCAACCCTGATGACACAGGTACAAATATTTGGAACGGCATTTAAGATGTGTGGACATTTTTACGCGCCGTTGTTTGACGAAAGATCAGCGACGAGCATTTTACTCGTTATACTCGGTACCGACGATGGACTTGCAAGAGTTGTGCAACGAAGGATCGCCTTACAGGGACGGTTAGTTTCGTACATAGGTACTTGTTGCCTGCAAAAACGTATTTATAGTTTTTTATTATTTTTTTCATACGCCCCCACAGAGTATCGAAAACATGCTGTCTGTTTGCACACCGTGCACACCGAGTACGTGAAGTGCGGTCAGCGACACAAACACGAACTAGCTTCCCTTATGGTGGACCATGGGCCGTACCAATATCAAAACGGCAACAACGGATCTCAGTTGACGTCGGTGCCGTTTGCCGGCGTGGAACAAATAACCCAGAACTTGGCCCACTTGTGCCGGTAGGTTAAAACGCATTACACGATTCACCAACAGGGTTTTGCCATTCGATCGCGCTAATTATTCGCTTCCGCCGATTTCCAACAGATCTTTCAGAGGACACTTGCAATGCGTGAACGGCATTGTTCGGGCCAAGTGCGGCGCGGAAACAGAAGAGTTCGCGAATCGCTTCCTCAGTCAGATGGCCTCTTCGCTCCTGGTCAGTATTCAACTCCAATTCACTGAATGTTCTGCGTGATTTTATAGTGCTCGTGACTGATCAACGATTACATGACAAGACGCGGTCCGCGCGTTTCACAATAGGAAGTTTTCGAAAACATACCCACAAGTGTAAACAAATTGTTCTCTTTTTATTTCTCCGAATAAAACGTTTTTGTTTTTTCAAAATTTTCAAAATTCACGTACCTAAACAAAACTGCACTAAAAACCTTGATTAACTAGAAAATGTATGCACATGTATCATTACTCCACACTTATTTTTAACGGTTTTTTTAAAATTTGTGACACATCTGTACATATCATTGATTATTTATAACATGTTAAACAATACTGACACAAAAATCGTTTCAATTGTAGGTGTCCTTACCGTGTACCGTGTAAAAATATTTATGTTAGAGGTAGTGGCGTAATCTCAGTTTTTTCTGAAGTAGGGCAGCCGGCATGCTCTTATTAAACTGCTGATTCGGAGGCTCATTTTACCAAAGTTCTGATTAACGTGGTGGGTGGGGGACATCAAACCAGTCCAAATTATAATTTTAATTCAATTATAATGTATCATTTATACTTTGTACAAAGTTGCATGCGTAGTCCTCATTTTTCTGACTCACAGTACGCGTATGTCTATGTCTTTATAAAATAAGTATTTATATTTTGATGATGTGCCGACTTTGGAATACCTAATTTCTAGACTGTGGCAAATGCATAAGTTACCCTGCCCTCCCAAAATAACGCCACCGAAAATAAGTAGATACCCATAGGTCTTAGTCCGGAAAAATAATTTTAATTTTTTCGAACAGGCGAACGCAGACATGATTGCGACGTCGTTTTTCTCACACGTTTGATTGGTGAATGCACTTTTTCTCTCGGGTCATCACACTACATAAAATACATAACGCTCGAGCAATTAGAATGATGTTTAATTGTATTGAACTTATATTATTTTCTATCTTCGATTTCATAACCACACAAGCAAACTTTTCAGATGCTTTTCCTTGTTCCGCGTAGTACAGTTTTGCAGCACTTAATTTATTTTCATATTTTTACTAATAGTTACGGTGTTTATTTGATGCCATACCCGTGCAGAGAATGATCGAAATTATAATACGACGAAAGATCGTTGATTGCCTAACGCTGCTCGTTTTATATATTTCCGCATAATTATATCGCTTGTTCTAATACAACCGTCTACGATATTAAAAACTGTATGTAACAAGATATCTTTATTGCAGAACATTTGTGACACTTACGGAGACCTAAAGGATGGTGACGTATCGGGGTCGCCGTCGTCGGTCGGCACTGGATCTTTGAGGATTACGACCACCGCCGCCGCGGTGCTTTTGGTGGTGGCATTTCGAATAACGCGATAACGCCGCGCACGAGCTGAGATCGACTCCAATGGAATCTACTACAACGACACAAGGAAAATATATTCATAGGCCAGCTGTCGTTTTCAGTGTAGTAATATTTTTTTTAACAAGTTAGGTACCTATATATGTATGTATACGTGTACCTGCCGTCTCACTCCCTTATACCTTTTCGTTACTCTACTATTTGCTGTACCTAATGTTATAATTGTTGATGTTTATTTATTTTTATTCGTATTTTTAAATTCCTGTACACTGTACGATTATCATTGTAAGAGTACTGCACTACTGTACCTATTATGTTTAGTTTTAATTGATTAATCGATATAGAGTACTGTACAACCGGCAGACGTGAATTGTACTGTATAATATATGGTCTGATGCGTATTTATTCTGGTAGGCAGCATAATCACCAATTATTGCTATAATTACGATACTTATAATTATTAGATGTAATTTTATCATTTGTTTTATTTTTGCCGTTGATTTCTGCTGCAATAACAGATGGAGTTAGAAATAAAATCAGTTGTTTATAATGAACGGATTTGAATATCATTATTTCTGCACACAGAGCCAGATTTAACCATTGTGCCGCTTTAAGCACTAAACAAATTGCCGCTTTTTAATATAAATATTTTTTTAGTCTAATAAATGATAAATAATAAAATATAATATTAAAAATAAAGTAGGTATATTTAAAAGAACAATAAATAATAAATTACAAAAATAAATGTTGACAGTTATAGTAGGTTCAATATTGTCACATTATTTCTTGGGAGGGGGTCTATGCTCCTCCAAGATATTCTTACATTCGCCTATGATCAGTTATATTGTTTGATTATTCTTATAAAGTGCCCCGACCATAAGTAGATACTACTATTAAGACCATAAATAGATACTGGATCCACCTTTGTTATAAATATATGAAGTTGACAGGATATATAATCTGATGATTTATTAAGTGTTGTATGGATGAAAATAATGTTAATACAATGTTAAACGTAATCTTAGCATTCATTAAAGGATTGTAACCGAGAGTTCGTAAAATGCGCAAACACAGTAAAAATTTTATCACATATTAAAAATAAAATAATAAAAAAATAAAACAAAAACGAGTGAATGGTCAATACTCGTAAGTTAATAAATAAATAAATAGCTTATATAAAGACAAAATAAATTTTTATGCTTTAAGTATTATATATTTATAATGTTTGACCGGTTTCGAGTTAAAAAATCATCAACAGGTATATACAAAGTTAATAAAATCGCAACTGAATATGAACAAGTTAAAGAAGGAATACATGGAAAAAAATTAGTCGTTTAACACTCAGATGATTCATTTTAATAGGTGAGATTATTCAAAATGAGTTCTTATTAGACAAAGATATGTTAAAAAATATAAATATTTTGGTTATTATGTATTAGAAATTATATAAAATGTATTAATACAAGACATTATTTTTAAAGTCGGTTTGTACATTTAAAATATTATTAAAATTATTTTATTTTTTATTATTATTATTTTCATTATTGAAAAGTAAAGACTGCGGTAGCTCTGGCCATTGGCTTGACAATAACTTATATTTTTACAGAACGAAAAAAAAAGTATTTTAGATACATATACTTAAACTTAGTTGGTTTAAATTTCGTTACACAAATTAAGTTTTTTTTAAAAAGTAAAGAGATTAACGATTGCAGTGGGATCAGTACTGAGTAATACTCAGTGAGTATGTTGTGAAGATGTATGGAGCCTATGCTCTCCTCTCGGTATTTTTTGTGGTTTCTGCATTCCGTTAGGACTATTTTATTTTATTTCATTGCGTGAGTGTAATTCATATAAAACTGAATTTATCTAAATGTTACTTTGGGTATTTAATATTTCTAAGTCAGTATTAATATCAAAATTTATAGTATGGTTATTTTCTAAAACATGCTTAGAGGAAGTCTTTTTTACATTTCATTTCGGCAATGTATTTTTATATATTATTTTAAAGTTTCTATTTGTTTTACTAATACAAAATGTATTACAATTAATTTAAGTATACAAAAAAATAAATAAATCGAATTAAACATAAAAGGGAATGTTCTTTTACACAAATATTTATTTACCATTAACTGTGTATTAATATTATTAACAATTGAAATCCTAACTGACTTATAGACTTATGACTTAGTTTTGCATACATTTATTGTGCCGTTAAACTATTGATTTCATTAAAACAAGTATACGAGTACCTATAATAATTAACAACGACTGGACAAAATTTAATAGTACATATTTAGATCTTAATTAAAAATAATTTTCCATAGTACAACTCATATCAGTTTTCTACCGATAAACATGTTAACTTATTTTTTCTTGATATTTTACTGCACAAAACGGTTGAATTTTTTTCAACTTAACCAACTAAGGATGGTATTATAAAGTAGATAATATAAAAATAAAAATATTTAAGTAAAATTTTTATATTTTTTCTTTAATATTTTATAAAAATAATCTTAATTAAGCACCTCAAAAACACCTGTCAAAGTTAGAAAGAAAACTGTTTAAAGAAGGAAGAGTATTTTATATTTATAATTATTATATTTCAGTTTTCTCTCTATGTATATGAATATTATACTATTATATGAGTAATAATGAGTCTTACGATTATGAAATTATTTTCTTATATATAACTATAGGCTAAAGTTTAAGCAGAGCTTGATTTATAAATTTTGAGGCCAAGAACTTAAAAAAATAGAATCCTCATAAAAACTATTAGTTATCTTATTCAAAAATGTATATTTTATTTTATATAATTACATATTACACTTCATTACATTGATTTTTTTCTAAGGTCTTTCAAAAACAAATCAATGCGTCATCATATGATAATTGTTCTGTTATTTTATGTTTTACTGTTAACAGAGTCAGATTGTCAAACCTATCTTGAGATAAGCATGTTTTCAATCGAGTTTTTATACGTTTTAATAATTGTTCGCTGTTACAATTTGTACAAGGCATTATCAAATAGATTTGTAACATAGTTTCAATACCTACTGGCAATTGTATGTTTTATATTCATCGATTTTAGATATTTAAGTTGGTATTGAGGATTATCTATCAGGTCATTTAAGGTATTATCATCGCTAAAAAATGACATTTTTAATTCTTGGAATTGTTGGTACCATTTTGGGTTTTGACCATTAAAACACTGTCTTAAGTTTTTAATTTTATCCATATTTTTATCAGGAGATTCATCACAAAAATTTTTTGAAATTCATTTGAAATCTTTAATGGCTATAAAGCAACATTTTTCTTCGACTTACTGTAGTCTATTTCATCATTTCCACAACCTAATGATATTAATATTAACATAATTTTATAATTTTATTAATTACAGCCGAAAAAATATTGTTAGTTTACTTAATTATAATATTTTCAACAAATTTATTACCAACTCTAATTATTATTTTAATGTAAATTATGTCACAAATTATAAAAATAATATAAGATTATTGAATTAATATAATAAAAAATATAAGTAGTTAATTACATTGAAATATATTATTAATTTTTGTTAAATTCAAATTTGTTTTACAAGGCACAATAAATAAATATACATACAAACAATATAGTATAATATACATAAGCGTGTGCAGACATAACTGGCAGGGTAGTCAAACATAACACATTATCATTTAATATTAACAAAAAATTTGCATTCGTAACTTCATTTAACTTAATAACTATATTTCTCCAGTATTCTTACATTTTTTTAACGTTAACTAATGTTTCGAAGTGGTTGAAAATAATATGTTTATTTATTATTGTGATCATATTGAATATTTTGGTGAGGGTGGGAAGTTTCACAGAATAGTCAAGTACCTACCCTGACTACCCCGTGTGCACGCTTATGATAATATAAAAATTAAGAAAATATTTATAATCTAACTTACATTGAAATCACAAGTAAATAAAACATATTTCTAGTTTTAGACAATTTTGAGCATCTGAAACATGTATAGCAAAAACATTTAACACAAGAACAAACATTATAAATTATTTATTAAAACCAATGATGTTAGTGAACAAAGACATGCAACATACTTTCATATTCGTTATAATTTATTTACAATTTTGTATTAAGAAATAAAGACCAAAATTATTCATAATTATCTTGTACCTACACACACCAAATTGTTTTTTAATTAGTATCCAAATATTTACCTTTTATGAATGAACTTGAATCAACTTTACACCTATCAACACTAATAATATTATTTTCTATATGAACCACTTGGTCAATCCAAACTCACTTTGGGTACTAGTCAGGGGCGCAATTTCAATGAAAAAACTGGATGTGCTGAAGCTCTTCTATCTTTTTTATGTTCCTTAATGGTTTTACACTCATAACCCGTACAATTCAATAGTTATTAAAATGTTTGACAAATATTTGAATTTTTCGTTTTGATTTTATATTTTTATTCCGCATATAACGAATTACCTGTCTGTAAACACAAATGTTTCATCAAATGATCACTTTTAGATTCTGACTGAATCGAAAGGATATTATGGTTTTATAATGATGTTTGTATTTTATTTTTTTAAACATTTTCGCATAGAAATACTGGTCCAAAAGTTATTTCTGAGAACTTTTTAGATTTTAAATTGATATACGGTGGTACTTTAGATAGGTAATTTTTTTTAAATCATAATAGTTTTTCTAGGCGTAAGGAAAAAACTGTCATGAAACGGTAAAAATACGCTGTAAATAAGACTTTAACTTTTCAGATTTTAGTTATTTAGTCATATTTCCAAAAGTATTGTGGCTAGAAACTTTTACCCTGTAGCAAATATATTGTTTTTCATATTTGATAAAATTTTCAAATACCGATTTTAATTTAAATATAGAACTTTAAAAGCACCTATTTTTTTTGAAAGTCATTATGTAATAAAATTTTTATTTTTGTGAAAATGTAATATCACCTTACTCATATACGAATACTTATTTACCGATACTAAAAAAATTTTAAAAATCATTAGTCTAAAATTTATTTCATAAGCATTTAAGTAAATTTTTATACCTACAATTTTTACGGATTGTACTGTTTTTACATAAATTTTCAACATTAAATGTTTATTAAAAAAAAATTGGTCCACCCAATTAAAACTAACTAAAAAAACTAATAACTAACTTGAATACAGATAAACATTTGGTTAAAAAAAATGTTTCTTCTTCATCAAGCAATAAAATGTTAAACAGGTTGATAAAAAAAAAGAACATACCGATAATTAGACTAAAAGTAGTAAAATATACTTATCAATAGTTGATTTTTATACTAAACCTTTGCTCAGAACCATTTTGATAAGGAAATGACTTATCATTTCTTTACAACTCAGTATATTTACTACCTACTAGGCTTGATACTCGTTCCGGTGTCCCGGCTGATCATTAATTTATCCCGGTCTTAGAAGCTGAGTGAAAATAACATTTAATATTATATTATTTAATAACAAAACAAAGAATAATATTGTACATTATATTATTATATTATGG